GCTACACAAACATCACATTTCCAAATTTACGACTTAAAAAAGGCAAATGACCCCTGGTGCTTTTTACAACGTCCACCGTTACGGGACTATAAGGACCAAGATGACACATGACAGCTTTCTGGCTGTTCAGGGCCATTTCTCACATTCAACGGAAAAAACGCCTGACAAATTGTCGCCCTTTGTCGCAATTTTTCACTGCTGATGTTGTTTTTGAGAGAATACGGCAGCTCCCTCTTTCACACATGCATAAAGCAAAAAGGGTCATCGGCCACCAATACTTCCAATAGTCCCACAAGCCAGCAGGCATGTGCATGACCTGTTAAATTGGCCCTTAGGACCTCTGCTGGCCCTATAGAATGACACCCCACAGCACTGCCCACACATAAACTCAAACACACCCCTTTTTTTTTTTTTTTTTTTAAACACCCTTCGGGGATACAATTTATTTTGCGTTAACAATGTCTTTATCGTTAATGCGTTGGACAGGTGGCTGCGAGTAAGGATGACTAACTTTGTTAGGGTCTTCATGAAGTATTAACAGAATCATACTGGTGGTTTTGTGTGATTTAGCCCATTTACTCATAGTAAGTAGACTTGATCAATGATCAATTTAGATTAATTTCCTACCTTTAACGCAGCAACTGTTTTCCATTCATTTTGCTATTCAGTGTAAATAAACTTACACACTTGAGACTTTCATATGATAAGAAATCCATGACAGTGAACATTAAATCATCTCTCTCTTTTTTGTCAAAGCTGAGTAAAAGAGAGACAGTTTTTTAAAACACTTCCATGTCGGTGAGTTCAAGCATTCCTGGGAAAATAAAATACCTGAGACTTGAGTGCCCGTCGTCCATAAAGCACACCTAAAACACTGAATCACAATATTACAGAATCCCAATACATATTTAATCAGCATTGCACTCTGATCATTGCACACTGTATCATCAAATACTTGCTGTTTATCATCCTTAAAAGAAACATCAGAAAGGTATTTTCAGATCTTTCAAATTACCAGGTGAGTAAACTTGAGCTGCATGTGACAAGACAGTAGTTATAAAGTGCCCAAGCGACAGATGAGACGATGGATGAAAAACCGCCTGCACATTGGCAGTGGCGTAGCCCAGTAGCTGCCAATATCCTCAAAATGAAGAGTGAGAGTTTATTTCACCGATGTGATGAGCCACAGGACATAAACAAGGCAGCGTTTGAGCGATGATCACAGAGCACGAGTCGCATAAATCACCTCTGAAGTGCACTCACTCTGTCCCCTTACTGTCACTGTCCATGTCAAATGTTTCTTATTACAAATAAAGCCTTGCAAAGCATTGTCAGTGGGCAGGGCCTGGATAAATCCTCCTCTCTCTGCCCTGAGGTGACACTTGATTAACAAATGTTTATCCATTACAGCTCATCTGAAACCTGATTCAACCAATCCAATACTTCAACTTGTGCATATCAAACGGTCAACAGTAACTCAACAGTCATACACAAATACATTTCTCCAAGTTGTCCACTTTCATCGGCTCTAACTTTAAAATTGCCCATATCCTCATTGATCCACCAAAGCAAAGCCTAAACTTTTCCACACACCAGCCGCCGTAACTCCTACCCATTACTAGACGTTAACAGTTTTTTAAAGCCAGATAAGTTGCATAGTGTGAGAGTGGCCACCAATGGCTTGACAATGATTTGATATTAAGAAACCCATGGATACCCAACTACTAGAGTGTGGGTTTTTGAGAGCTCAATTCCCGATCTTTAAAACTTCCAGATCATATTAAGCAAATTTAAGTCTCTCAGGACATCTTTAATGCTACCTGTACTTAGAGCTGCAACGATTAGTCGATTAATCCATTAGCTGTCAACTGTTGAATTAATCGGCAAATATTTTGATAATCGATTAATTGTAGTCCTGTTTTAATAAAAAACGTCCACATTCTCTGATTCCAGCTTCTCAAGTGTGAACATTTTCTGGTTTCTTTACTCCTCTATGACAGCAAACTGAATATCTTTAGGTTGTGGACAAAACAGGACATTTGAGGACGCCTTCTTGGGCTTTGGGAAAATCAATTAATCGTAAAAATTAGCAACAGATTAATTGATAATGAAAATAATCGTTAGTTGCAACCCTACTTGTCTGTTCATTAAAGAATAATTTACTGTACAGCTAAATAAACAGAAAATTTGAAAATCATTTTTCATGAATTATTTTAAAAACGGTAAGTGTGCATATGATGTACTGTACTACTAACTTGGGATTCATCTAACTTTGAATATGGTGCACAAAAAAAAAAAACTTATTCTCTGTGTGAAATAAAGACTTGGTGAGGTGATGGGTACAGGGAGGCCTGTAAGATCCTAAAAATCATGCTCCTCCACTCACACATTTTCCACACACAATTCCAACTTCAATAGGGAGTGAGTGGACAGGGACATTTTTGGTGAAGGACCCCTGCTGGGCCCTGGACCCCCCACTTTGGGAACCAAGGGTTTACACTGTTTGGCAGCGCCTCATCCACTGACAGTACAGCCGAGCTCTTGTGTGTGTGTGCCATAGATAGCATGTTCATTTAATGAGTGAATAATATCCCCCTGCATGTCCAATGAACTGTGGGTTGGGGGCTTGGGCCACGGGCGGGAGGGGGTGACAATAACACAATAGGAGTGTTAGGGAGTGTGGGAACCAATTCTCCCCGGGACAATAGACACTTCCCAGTGGCCACAGCGTGCCCATTCACTATCAGCTGCTGGGCCGGCGTAGCACGGCGCTGAATATGCACCAGCTCAGCATAATGCTGCTTTCTCCCAAACAAGACCAGACTGTTTCCTATCCCAAAGACAACACAGGCCAGCTCTAGCCTATACACAGCCTCATTCTCACATAAGCAGTCTCTTTCTCACTCCCTCCGTGTCTGCATGTCTCTCTCGCTTTCTGTCGCTGTCACACACACCAACAGGAGGGTAGCAACAAGGCCAGGGATTGTGGAGATAGGCTGGGGCTGCCGTGCTGTAACTAGGCCACTGTTCCTCTCTGGCTGCTGGTCGTTGAGATATTCTGGGCTGAAATGTTATTAGCGTAACCCAGTTTACCCAGTACCAGGTGACTGCTGGAAGAGGCGCTCCCCGCAGGGACACACACACACACACACACTCTCAAGGACAATGCACGCCAAGAGGCGGGGAGGAGGGGGAAGGAAGGTGGTGCCGAAACGGGAGAAAAGGCGATGAAAGAGTGAGCACAACGCGATAACGTGTTGAATTCTGCAGTCAGAGGAATCACTGCGGGACACCGGCACATTTGGATAAAGTTGAGTTACTGTGTGTGTTTCTGCGTGTGCGTCCACGCCGTGCTCTGGTGTGACCCAGACTCAAACCTGTACCCAGCCTTTTCTTTTGTGTGCGCGCCCTCTGGTTGCTGCGGCAACGGAGCCTGAGAACCAAAAGGGAGGGCGGGGCAAAGAGAGAGAGAGAGAGGGGAACAAGGAGATGCAAGCCTGAGAGTGTTTTTAAATGTTGCGGTGTTGACACACACACACACACACACACACACACCCACCAGCATTTTATCATGTCAATACAGTCATCTGTCATCACACAGCTCTGACGTCTCACTGCTTATCATATAAACCTTTAACTAAATCCTGTTGAATATGTTAATGTTTTACTGGATAAGCAATGAAAGACACAGTAATGAATGAACCAGTAAATATTTTTATGAGCTAACTCATGACTGATTTCCATTCATTTATCCTTCGCCTTAATTGGCCCCAGAGCCACGCTGCTATATTACACTACTTAAACAAATAGCTGTTACCATGTGGCCTAAAGACGTATATTTACAGATCGCCATTGCATTTCTGCAACACCTGTCGTATTTTGCAGTGCAAGTGAATTTAAGTATTCAGTTGTTTATTGTGATTTATTTACCTCCACTTTATTAGTGATTATTTGTCTATTAATACACTCTGTAGTTATTACTTATGTCCAGTTTATATAGTACATTTTATTCTTATATTACTGCTTCATACATAAGATGTTCATAATGTGTTTAGTATTCTAGCTTTTTACAGTTACTCAGCTATACGCTGCATCCAGCCTTTTACTTCTTTTTGCAGCGGTGACCATTCAGTTTCTTACCTTTTTCTTTTTCCTCGATAACAGTCACACTGTATAGTTGTGTGTGGTGGTGTCACAACAAGCTAAAATGTAAACTCATCCCCTAACAATTTTTTAATAGATCACACCTGCGATCATCAGTTCAGATTTTGATATCACATTTCCATGCCACCAAAAGTCAAAGGTATTGAATGAAAGCCAAGTCCCATCTGTTGCTGCCAAGGTGTTAAAATGGAGCGCAAGTCTTCACCATAACCACCAGATATAAGACAAGAGGACAGAAGACAAGGAAAAAGCACAGCTGTCATACATAAACTGTTGTTTTCTGTTGCCCCTCTCTCTTTCCCTTGTGTGTTCCCTGGCTTTCTCTTTACTTTAAATAAATGCAGTCTATTTAAACTGTCTTTTAAAGAAAGACAAAACATCGCTGCGTGTATTTAAGAGGATGTTGGGTGACATGTCTGGTTTTCTCCAGGCCGTGCAGACATGGTGCTGATGTGGGTCAGCACGGGATCCTCTAAACACGGGATGCTCTGCCCTGAGGCGAGGTTCATTGCTGGATATGAGTCAGCGCAGACCTTTAACTGTTAACGGTAGAGGAATAGTCTGATTAACGTTATAATGGGAATGTACTGTGATTTCCACATTATGACTTGCCCTGTTGCTAACGGCTGCTGGCCTGCGCTAAACTCCGCAGTCAGAAACACCGAGTCATATTATGGCAGTCTGCTTGCTTCACTTCAGATGTACATTAAGTTGTCTTTATGCAGATGTTTTACTTGCTTTACTCGAGTTATTTCTGTGTCAGTGACAGTATAATGGCTGCCATGCCGAGGAGGACTCCCTATGCATCCCCCCTCCACTGCCAACAGTCTTCCTACCTGCATGGAGTCGGCGCTGATTATTTCTGCCTGAAGCCGTTTTCCGATCTCGATCGCCAGCTTGGACTTCCCGGTGCCGGTAGCTCCCAAAACCACCACCAACGACGGGATCATCGCTCTCCGTATGGCACACTGCACGCTGCGAGCGGACGCCGCCATGATGCTGCTTCCTCGGTGCCCAGCTGACGGCTATGCGCATGCGCAGTGGGGGGAGCAGAGAGGAGAGGCGGGCTCTGTTACCGGGCAACAGGCAGCCGTTACTGTGGCAACTCTGATCGATGGGGCATCGTGTCTTTCATCTTAGAAGAATAAATAAATGTTATTTTAATTTAAACATTCAGTCTTACTGATGCTCTGATTGGTCTGATCGGTCTGCAGCATCAAGCTGGATTAAAACCAGTTCAGCTCAAAAAGGTGAATCAGGTGTCTGACTTCTCTCTCCTTGTTGCTGCATGTGGGAACAAATCAGACTGCTGATCGCATTTATCTATTTGTCAATGAAATGACTTTACAGGGACGATCCAGTTAGTATTGTTTCTATGGAAACTGTGGGAGTGCTCCAGCAGCAGTAAGCGAGGATGCTTGTTGCCATGGCAAAGATGCCAGGATGGGTTACCTTGGAGAACAAACGGTGGGTGGCTGCAGAGAGCGAGATGTGCGTTCACTCATACAGGTGGTTTTAATGGGAAACAAATGTGCCCATAATAACACACTAGATTTAAGTGTAGCTATATCCAGCTACAAACTGAAAAACCAATATACAACTGATTGTTCTTATTATGTGTGGAAGAGAAACAGATAAGGCAAACAGGTCATTTATGATGTCAAAACATGAACTGAAATGAACACCATAAAGTTGGAACTCTGTGGGATTCATCTCCAAGCAAAGGTTGGCATTTTTGATGTTGCTCAAACATACAGATTCAATTTAAAGCCACTCTCTGTGGATGTGTGATGGTTTGGAAGGCACTGTACAGTAAGGGAACTGTATAGGCTATATAACATCCAACTGGATAGTCTACGTACATTAAAAGGCTTGTATAGGCATCAAGTCAAATGCAAAAAAATAAAAATTACAAAATATCAGACAGCAAGATGAAAGAAATACACAGTTGGAACTCTGTGGGCTTCTTATTCAAGCAAAGGATGAAATTTTTGATGTTGCTTAAACATACAGATTCAATTTAATCTATTCTCTAAGTGTTTAGTTCAGTCTTGTAATTTCAAGCCAACATTCACCTTTTCGCTGGTCAATAATAAAGACAGGGTGAAACTTGGTAAACATGTTCATGTTTTTGCAAATAAGATCAACTTCACCAAATGCCTGCATGGCAACATATTGCCTGTGTATTCACCCCTACGGGTGATTTTAATGGAGAACAAATGTGCACTATAATAGTAGTCAAAATAACACTAGATTTAAGTGTAACGGTAATCCAGCTACAAACTGAATAACAAATAAACAACTTGATGATTGTTCTTATGTGTGGAAGAGACAGACAGATACAGCACACAGGTCATTTATGATGTCAAACCATGAATTTATTAATTTCCGGACATACTCTTCATACATATAGGCTTATGAGGTACAGAAAGAAAAAGTGCTGAGACAAGGCTCCAAAATCATGATAGTTTAGCTCCCAAAGTATGTAAGCAATATCCACTGCTACCGTGACTGTGCCAAACACAGAGACCAGTGACCAATACCAGTCAAACAAATAAAAATAAGAAAGCAGGGCAAACCACTGCTGTGTGTGCACCCTATTGAGAAATCTAAAAACAGGACTAATGGTGGTTTGTGCTGAATTTATTAGCAGAAAAATATATAACAGCAAGTTCACATGAAGGAAGGGTTGCTTCTGTCTGCGTGGGTCTGGCATTTGGTCATAAATACAGCATATTACAGCAGGGGGTGTTTTCCTCAAGCACAGCTGAAGGCCCTAGCACAAGAGCTACAGCTTGCTTGAGAGTTTCCTGAGTGCTGGTAAGAGCAGGATCATTTACAGTACTAGTTCCAGGGCTACAGTGTTCTCTGTTGCATGGCTTGTGGGAAAATAGGGAGCACCAGGGCTTGCAAAAAAGCAGAGAGAAAGCATTAACATTAAGGTCACTAAAGGCTACACACAGCCAGAAGTTTAATCGGTAGATCCTCTTAAGTCCCCCCCCCCCACGTCAGATTTAAGAGTGTGTTACAGCTACAGTGATTGGATTGAATACAGGAGCATTCAGGTGCTTTTGACTCCAGAGAGAAAACAGGCCATACGTGCCAATTTTCAGCACATAACCACCAATAAAGACCTGCCAGCTACAATAACAGAAACAGTCATTAGCTCACACTGAAACAACTTGGTAGGAAAATATAGTATAAAACTTTTGTCAATTCTGACTTGTACAAATAAAACAAACCCCCAGAGAAAGAAACAAAGAAGCCATGAACAGTAAAGAAAACAAGTAGGCATTGCAAAAAAAAAAAAAAAAAAAAAAAAAAAAAAAAGTGTTGACAAAGTGGCTAGTGTGATCAATGTTCAGTAAGTGTTTTATCTTGACTTTTTTCATAATCATTTTATTAACAAAAATAGAAGCTTTGAGTTATCTTTGAAAAGCCTGCAAGCTTGGCCCCGGTTTAAGACGCAGGGCCCAGAACTAGGATGAGTATAGTAGACAGCTCTGGTTTTGGTTTGGAAGGGGCTGTACAGTAAGGGAACTATATACATAACATCCAACAGGATAGTCTACGTACATGAAAAAGGCTTCTATAGGCATTACATTAAATGCAAAAAAAAAAAAACAATTACAAAATATTAGACAAGATGAAACAAATACAGTTGGAACTCTGTGGGCTTCCTCTCCAAGCTAAGGTTGGCATTTGTGATGTCGCTTAAACATACAGATTCAATTTAAGCCATTCTCAAAGAGTTTATTCAGGTTGATAATTTGAAGCCAACATTCACCTTTTGGCTGGTCTCCATGGCACAACAATAATAAAGACAGGGTGAAACTTGGTAAACATGTTCATATAGTGTTTTTGCAGATGTTGACTGTATATGGATTGACCTGAAAAAAAAATGCCTGCATGGCAACATATGGACTCATTTTCTCCAAATAATGCTGCAAAACAGGGTGTTACTGTGGGCACTGTGCTGCTGTTGAAACATCTATGACGCAAGAAGACAAACACTGAAGTTATGAACCTGCAGGCACAGAAGTTAGGACTTAACCTGAGCTATTCAAGAGGTGCAGAACAGTTTGTATGCTTCCAGTTGCAACATTATGATGCATGGCTCAGTACAGTCCCACAACAGCCCCCTGCATTCCCCCATTATCAGTAAGCATAAAGCTAGAAACTTCATCTGCTGACACGGACAAGTGTGAACAGAAGAGGAAACAGAAGAATTTAGATGCTATGGAGAATGAGAGAAGAGGCACAACTTGAGAATAAAATGAGTTGTATGCCAAGCGCTAAGGAGCAGGGAACTTTAAAAGAAGTTACAATTTGAAGGGAGACCCCACAGAAAACGTCAGGGGGCCTTTAGACTGATGACAGATTGAAAGAGGAGACAACACTGCTGTGCAAGCACACCAAGCCTTATTACAATCAGGGAGACATCTGACCAGACCATGCAGCAGGTAAACAGCAAAGCTGTAGCAGTTTCTCAACTAGAAGCTGTTGCATTCACAACAAGCCTTCTGGTAGCAAGCAACAATTTTGAATATTTTTTAGCAAGGGGAAATATAACATTTTGACAAACCTATATTGAGTAACCATGGACATATAAATCTGTCCGTAAGATGCCCCATAAGATCAGTCCCTAGCTGGCTGTCCTGACTGGCTTACGGCCTTGTCAATCACTCAGAAGCTAATGTGCAAACCACAAAAATAGAAAGAAAAAAACAACAATACACCCGCACAATTCCAACGTGACCGATTCAAAGTGAACATTAGGGTCTTTTCTCCTTCACGTAGTCCCGTTCAGTTCTGTGAGTGTACGTTTGTGGTGACGGCTGACCCCGACGCTCAGGATCGTTTGAGCTGGGCCAGCCTCTGCAGCAGCTGCAGCTGCCTGGCTTTCAGCTGCTTCCTTTCCTGAGCCTTCTGCCTTTCCCTGGTGTGCAGCTGCTGCAGGTACTCCGTGGCTCGCGTCAGGATCGCCACCTTCGGCGTCTTGGGGCAGTCCGCTAAACCCGGGATCTCGTCCCGCAGTGACAGGAAACGTGAGCGCAGGTCATTCCTCCGCTTGCGCTCGAGGAAGTTGTGCGCCTTGCGTTTGTCTGTGTCCTCGCAGTCGGAGGACTGGGGGCTGGAGAAGAAGTGGGGCTTTGAGGGGGAGCTGTTGGGATGGGAGGAGGGCGAGGAGGAGGAAGAGGAGGAGGAGGGAGGAGACGAAGGGGATGTGGAGGAGGTAGGAGAGGAAGCCCTAGGGTTAGGGGACTCTGACCTGACTCCGGCCACAGTCACTTGAGACTTCCTGCTGTCTAAGTTCAAAGGGGTGTGGCCGGGCCGGGGCTGGTGGTACTGAGTGTTCTGGGTGACCTGGGTGGAGGCCTCCTGCCGAACCCTCTTCCGAGGCGGCTCGGCCGGTGTAGGGAGTGTGTCCGGGGAGGGCGCAGCATAGTTGTGCTGCTGTTGGTGGATAGAGATGTGGAAACGCTTCATGCTGGGGTCGAGGGGGTCGGCGCGAACCGTTATAGTCACTGGTTTACGAGTGTTGACCAGTCGGCGAGGTTTGCGTTGCTGCTTGTGCTCCACTGTCACCACATCAATCTCCTCTTCATCCTCATCCTTGTCATCTTCATCATCTGAAAAAAGGGCAGGAGGGAAGGCATTAAGTGATGCGTTTGATTATCCAAAATACCTGCTAATGACTGCAGGGGACAGCTGGAGTTGGAAACATGAGTCACATAAAAAAAAAAATAAATAAGAGCCACCTGACTTGACACAGTCACCCTGCCCTCCTGTCTCCTTAAACAAATAAAATGCTTCTGTAAAAATTTACTTCACACAAGGCCTCATGAAGTCTCACACACTACAGGATACACACTGTTGCTGTGATGACTCACCGCATCGGGTGACTTCCGAGTTAGGATGAGAGGCAGGTTAGCTGAAGAAGCACTCAGGTGCAACTCTTCAACTTGTTCTAATGAGCCTAACATGGAAAGCTGCGCACGTTTAAAACCATTTGCTGCCGAATTTTCTC